TTTCGGCCTTTTGTAGGGGAAAAGGTGAGGAAGGTACACTACATGTTTGGTTGTGAAATTAGTCAACAAAAGGAGAAACTTTTACTATTCAACTTTAGACTCTTTTTGCTGATTTTTTCCCTTTGTGGTAAATGGTAATTTTGGTTGGATTTTAGGAACCAAATGGGACTGGAATTTCATCCCTATGTAGGAACAAGAAGGGAAGTGTGTTATTTGATTATTTAAAGCTTTAAAAAAAGAAATAAAAGTGGTCTTCTTATTTTCGGTTAAGGGACTTAAAATAAGTGGAGGAAGACTTTATTTGAAAGGAAATAAAAGACACGGCATTTTGGATGTTTAGGGATGGTTTGAGGTTTTGGTGGGAGCCATCCAGGGGTATAACATACTCCCCTTCTTCAAAGAAAGTTTGTCCTCAAACTTTCACACCACCGTGAAAAGATTAATAGTTCACATAAGAATTCCCGGATCAAAGGGAAAATTCAATGAACCACTAACAATGGGGTTCTTTCCAGAATCAGTAGGCACCTTCTTGTATAATTTCTGGGATGATATGGTTTCCTTGAATGGAACCTGCTTCAAACATATCCCATTGACAACATAGGGGTGCTTCTCCATGATCAAGATATAGTACTCCGAAGAATCGTCTTTTGAGTATTTCACAAATCTCGGTTTTTCTTCCTTCGTACCTATTTCAACAAAACGATCAAAAACAAAGGAAATGTCATAATCATCAGCGTTAGAAATGATGACATGATTAGGCAGCTCCAGTGCCTCTGAAATAGGTTCCTCTATGATGACTTCATCTTTATCTTCAACATGAGAGTTAAAGACATTTTTCTCAATAACGTTCACGTCATCGGAGCTTTTCTCTTCCTCATCATGAGTTGGTTCTTCAGGCTGAACTTGGTCATTTATTGCTTCATTAAAGCATCCGATTTGACCTTTGTCTCTGGTCCATTCTTCATATGGGATGGCATACTTATTTGAACATTCCCAATAGCCATGACCACAGCCACCACACATGAAACACCGCCAAGTAGCCCATTGTAATATTGCTCCATTTGCAAGGATAATTTCCAGATTTTTGAGGTGTCTTTTAGAGACCATATCTCACAAACCGGAGATTGGAATTAGGTAATTCCAACTCTCAAAGCTAGATATTGACGTCCATAAACACATATCAAAAATTTAGAGCCATTAAAGAATGTTCGCTACCTCTTTGAAGACAAATTCAGCAAGGTAGATAGAATTTGTCCACGATTGTGTTATCAACTTCGGGAGGACATATCTCAATAACCACAACTCGGAATTGAGTCAGCGGCCACGCGTAGAGAAAAGGTCAAACTTTCAATCTGGAAAATTTAACTCCAAAATCTGTTGTGTAGCTTCCTCCGTGCTCAATTCTTTCGAGCTGCAAGTTTCTGGAAAAATTTTCAGCTACCTTCTTTTTGGGAAACGTTTGTGAAGCCGGTCCTCAAGGTGATCGTCGAGACTTAAGGAAGTCTTCGAAGATAGCTCTGATGCCAAATGTTATACCCGAGACCCAGGGTATAATCAAGTTGCTATTTGAAGATGGAATTATGGGATCGTGAAGAGGATATGAGGGGATGGGGGTGGAACAAAGAGTTGTTTTTTTGGGTTTTTGATGAAAGAAAAGAATAAGTTCAAGAAGAAGAAATGGTGAGAAATGAAATTGGCAGAGATAAAGTGAAGGGATAAACCAAGTTGGTGTTAAGAGATATAACACACTCTTATCCTCACTTGGGGTTTGAATCTAGAATTCAATCAAGATATGACGCACTTAATTAAATATCTAGAACCTAAAACTCACACTTAAGAGAACCACTCTTAAGATATAGAATTAGGAATTTGGCTAAAATAGCATCACACTATTTTAAAAGAATACTCAAAAGAGTAAACAAGGTTTTTGAATTCAAATATGCTGCTTACAATGGCCATAAGGCCGAACTATATATGCACACTACAAAGGG